GCGGCCATCTGCTGAGGCTGACTGGGGGTCAAGGAGACAGAAGCAGAGATACAAAAGATACAAAAAGCAGCTGTAAAAGGCGGCCCCGTCCAGGAAACACCCAGCCAGGCAGACGAGCTCCGAGCCAGCTCCCATGCCAGAGGACGAAGAGAGCACATCCAGCCAGACACAGTCAGAGATACAGGACTACATTGGAAAACAGGCCGATCTCCATCTATAAACAAAGGTGTTGAAGGCAGCAGCACAGCTGATATTTCTCTCCAGGATGGTGTCACAGCCAAACAGCTGTCAGCAGTCAGGCCAGGCTCTCTCTGTCTTAGTGGCTCACAGCAGGGCTCCTCTTTGTCTCAGGCTCCCAGCAGGACAGGCTCCTCATCCAGTCTGGCTCTATAAGTTCTGAAACTTCAAGAGAAATGTGTAGCTGCTTTGCAGCAGTTTAGTTCTGCAAGTTTACCACAATGACCCATCCTTGATGATTCTGGAGGTCTGGGTCTCCTTGGGTCCGCATCTCCACAGTGGTAGAGAACCAGCCAAAGCGGACCCCAGCTTCATGGGTAAGGCAGAGGAGGCAAAGAGAGAGTGAGAGTGAGAAAAGACAAATATCTGTGGATCAGATCTAGAACCTTTTAGAGGGTCTCACAGCTGTTATTCACCCAAGCTGCGTGTTCTCCTCGGGTCATCATATCAAGATCTTTGATATGATCTGGTTCCCAATGTCCAAAAACCATGATCATGGCATATAGCACAACACCTCCTTCTCTCTCAAACCGTTTAGAACCAGAAACTACTCCTCCCTGGGTCCATTCAGAACCAGAACATCTTCTTCTCTGGGTTCATTCATAACCACCTCCTCCTCTCCTGGTGCTGTCGGAACGAGAACCTCTTCTTCTCTGGATCCATTCAGAATCAGAATCTCATCCTCTCTGGGTCCATTCAGAACCATAAAATCTTCCCCTCTGTGTCTGTTCAGAACGAGAACCTCTTCCTCTCTGGGTCCGTTCAGAACCACCTCTGCTGTCTGGGTCTCCTTCAGAACCATAATCTCCTCCTCTCTGAGCACTTTCAGAAAAAGAACCTCCTTCTCTCTTGGTCCGTTCAGAACAAGAACCTCTTCCTCTCTGGGTATATTCAGAACCAGAACCTCCTCCTCTCTGGGTCCACTCACAACTAGGACCTCTTGATCTGTTGATCAATCCAGAACCAGGACCTCCTCCTCTCTGGGTCCGTTCAGAAACAACTCCTCCTCTCTATCCACTCAGATCTAGAACCTTTTCTTCTCTTTATCCATTCAGAACCAAAACAATCTCCTCTCTGGGTTCATTAGCAGAAGAACCTCCTCCTGTCTGGGTCTGTTACAAACCAGAACCTTGTCCTCTCTGGCTCCGTTCAGAACGAGAACCTCATTCAGTGGGTCCATTCAGAACCAGAACCTCTTCTTCTCTGGGTGCGTTCACAACCACCTCGTCCTCTCTGGGTCCATCCAAAACAAGAACCTCGTCCTCTCTGGGTCCTTTCAAAACCAGATTCTCCTCCTCTTTGGGTCCGTACATAACCTAAATCTCTCTGGGTCCGTTCAGATCCACAACCTTTTTCTCTCTGTGTCTTAACAGAACCAGAACCTGTTCCTCTCTGGGTCTGTTCAGAACCAGAACATCCTCCTCCTGGGTCCATTTAGAACAA